GAGGTCTTTTCCAACCTTTATGATTCTATCATTCTATGAAAATGTTCATCCTCATACTCAAGTTCCCGTGGCCACTCTGCATCTTCAGGAAACTTTATTCTTCACAGCTATCGTGCAGTTCTTAATTCAAAAAAAACACTACATGGGTTCAAATGCCACATAGGGAAAAATTTCTGAAGAGAGATTTACATTTGCAAGGTCAAAAAATGTTGCAATCTAAGAAAATAGTTCACTTTTCTTTATTTGCTTTGTATAGCTAGGGGAATAAAGTTACAACTCCAATTAAAAAGACTTTGGCTATTGACTTTTCCTTCTCTGGTTTTGAAGCGAACATTCTGTTCTCTTAATTGCAGTTTGCTTTAAACTTGATACTAACTATAGCACCTTTTAACAAAGTTTACTTTCCACAAGAACTGACCAGGCATGAAGAGGGTTTACCCAAGCCAAAGGTTCCACCTGCCATTTACTGAAAACAGTCTTAAGACTACTACAGAAAGACAACTAGACACCTTAGATCAAAGCCAGAGCTAACATGTGTTCTTAGAAAATGAAGGGAAGCTGTGAAATACTAACTCAGTTATTTGCCTAAGTAACTTTCTACATTCATCATATTTTCTGAGTGAATACAGTAGCCCATTTTCCCTAAAATTTCAAATACAAAAATTAAGTATTTTTAAAAAGGTAAATACCTAATTACCATAAATGCATGAAATGCATCTAAAAATTTATTGTTTCACTTCAGTTTTAGAACATTGAATCAAATCATAACATTTTCCTCCTATGAAAAAATGGTCAGCTAAAGTAAATCAGATAAATGCTAAGCATAATAGAAACCCTTTTTTTTTTTTTTTACCAACAGCTAGTACAGCAAATCATTTACTGCAAATCAAAATAATTTCTGAAGTTATTTTTTAAAAATGGCTAAAAACCATGAAAACAGATGAGGATTTAATGTACTCAGTGAGAAGGGCACAGTCAAAATAACTTTCCTTAAGGACAGTGTAAACAACTGTCCTTGTTGTTTAGGTTCAGCAAAATGACTGAATGTATTCTCTCTGCTGTTACAAAATGTTCACTAACTATCATTGTGAAAAATAAGAACATAACTAATCTGAAAAGGAAGAACATAACTGATTTTATTTTTCAGGATAATGTTTAAAAACATATCATTCCTCAGCACTGATTTAAGAACTTAACTCAAATTCTGTGGTACATAAAATGGAATTTGTTTTTTAAAATATATGTTGATGTTAAAATGTATGTTGATGTTAAATTAAAAAATTACACAGAAAATTCTACTATATTGGTGCTATACAAATACAAATTTCCATTATCCTAGACTTCAAGAAACTTCTGCCTAACTCATGTTTTCACGTGAAATGCCTATCATAAAATAAACAGCTGGTAAGACCACAGAGAGTAGAAATAGAAATTTGAGACTGATGAAATCTGGAGACTCCTGTGACTTTCATAATAAGAAAAGAGACATCTTTTCATCGGAAGAATGCTAAAAAACCGATACGCTCAGCAATTACTACCTTGTTCTAGACTGACTGTTCTTGCTTCAGAGTCACTGTTTCAATTGCCTTCTTTCTGAATGGCTCCAACTTTCATCTCTGCATTTTAACCAGATAGCATTTTAGGACAACCCTCAGAAGAGAGAGAAGGCATGTCCTCCCAGTTTCACCATTTACTCCTTTGTTGGCTAAGAAATGTCACCTGTTAAGTTGAAGGAATCAGCAATTTAAGACCTGAATTTTGTCTGACTGAAGGCAAGATTTCAGCTTTTCAATAAACCCCTAACATTTGATAGCCGATGCCTCTTCATGTGGCTGATGTAAACCAAAGTGATGCATCAGAAGAGTCATTTAATGAGTCAAAAGAAAAGATGACTCAAATGGCCCACACAGAACAAAACAGCCTTCCCATTGTAGCGTTTGCTTAAATTTTTCATAAGTTTAGCCACGAAAAAAGTTTACTTTGTTAATAAATGGCACTATGAATCTTCCATAACCATCATATTGTAAGATCACAAGTATTGTTTGGCTTCTGCTAGTGGGTACTTCATGGTATACTTACAAAATAGCCTTTCAAAAGAGAATTTTTTCCTACGTGTGCACTCTAAGGTCAGACCCTTAGAAGGACAGGCAACTTCCTAAACCTTTTTTCTTCCTCACATAGGGGGATGTTCTGTCCCTTAAAGGAATTAGCAGAAAGTCTTTTAAGCGAACTATTGAGCCAATAAAGACTATATTGTAGAAATACTGATGTACAGTCTGCATAATCTCCTTTAATGGAATTTAAGGCCAATTATACATACATCACTTGGGACTAGTCTTGGTATCTTCCATTCTGCTTCAGAACAAGGAATCTAAGCAGCTTTCCTTTTCTTGAGAATATGGAAAACAGATGACCACTTGTCCGTCCTAGTATTTCACATACTCGTATTTAAAATAATGAATTTTCTAAGACCTGACTTCTGCTCACTTACTTAAACTGTGACTTTGCCAAATCCTTTGTTTTATATCAACCAGTATTGTATTTTATGCAGTTACTCTACATTCAACTTTTAAAATATGTACCCATCACACTCTAACCTCACATTCAGACTCTCACAGGACATAATCCACTTCCTACCGAAGTCCACAACATGAACCCACTGATTCTGAAAGCGCACGCAGAGCTATCCAAAGTCATAATTTCTACTAGAAACTTATCACTGGAAATAATTATTTTTAATCTCCAGTGAACTGTACACAGTTTTCAGAAGAAAGCTCATAAAGCAAGGAGATTCATTCTTCTACATCAACAAAGGCTAAAGCTGTAAAAACAGATGCCCTCGCCATCAAAACAATAAAGATTACTTGAATCTGTCATAGGCTATTATCCCCTTCCCATCAATAAAAATACTGAAAAGAGCAAAATACAAATCTTTTCTTCCACAAGAGGCTGGAGAACCAAGGGAAAAACGGTCTATATTAGGCTCACTAAACAGCACTTATGTATTTCACAGTTTTAAATATGGCAGAGTAGGTTATAATCCAACTTTCTGTTCCTACATACAGTCCCTGAATAAGAGAGTGATTTCCAATGGATATGAAGCATTAACAACAAGAAGCCTGTGAAGCTAATGAGACACTGAGTAGGTCCATATCTGTTACAAAACAATATAACTTACATTATCAACTGACATTAGATAAAGCACATCCATATACAGCATGCTTTACCACTACAATTGATTGTCTTCCCTAAAACGTCAATTTTTATGACAAGTACTAACACACATTCTTACCTTTTTGTATCCTCTAGTAATAAACTAAAAGTTCAGTATTTTTATTCCAATTAAGCTACAAACACAGATAGCATTAAAAACAAAATACAAATTAAAAAAAAAACCAAAGTCATTACTCAAAAATAAGAGTGGCAGAACCAGATCTAAAAGAAAATTGCATCAGTACTGTCATGTCTTCAAGAAATAAATAAGGTGGTATACATACTTTTCTGCTTGGAGTTTAGTGGTTTTTACTATCAAGTCCTGGGTTTGCTCCTTTGCTGCCTACAATATAATTAGAATCATTAAGTATGTGAAACGAACACAAACGTATCAAATACATCACACAATCTTTAAAATATATAATACTTTTGAAGCTTTCTGACCATAAGCAGTTTAAAAAGTGTACTCTTTGAGACAAAGGGCCTTCTTGAAATAAGTATTCATTAACTCTCCCTATTTTCTGGCATGAAAGAATAAATTAATATGCTTATCCATATATACTTTCATCTTTATATACATTTATATTCACATACAGTTAATTTTTAATTTATATTTAATACAAAAATATTAATATAAATATTAGGAATAGTTCTGATTATTTTGTTTGTCCATCAACTGTAAATTGTTTGCTGTTACAAAACAAAAGATTAAAGAAGTTGCTTTGGATGCTGAACTGCCCAGTACCAGTGCCCATCCAGCCATTTTAGACAACATGTATACAGCTGTCTGTGCTGGTCTTAGCAAGTTTAGCTCTACAGTCCAAGCAGCTTACAGGGCTGTAAGGACCAAGTGCAATGCACTTAAGAAGTCCATCACAGAGCTAAACGTTCAGTGATGACAACGCAAGGGAATCCACACAGAAACAATTCTGCTACAGACAACAGCTGCATGACTAAAGGGACTTCTGCAACCGAAGTTAAAGAGTTCAGAAACTTATCCCTCAGCAAGAGGATAAAAGACATCCGGAACTGCTGGTTTCCCACTGGACACCACCAGTGATCTTTTAGGCAGAAAAATAAGATGATTTAACAACAACAACAAAAAAATCCCGAAATCAAAATGCATTCAGTATGGAATAATAATGCAAGTGAAGGACAAAGAGCTATAAAGAAATTCTGCGTGAATAATTTCAAGACTGTAATAGGTCTAAACTACGGCATTTGCCAAAATGAAGATGCCAGTCTTCAAACCTGTGAGAGGTCTAACGGAAGTACATATGCACACCGATTCATTTCAGCCTTTCTATCTGCCACACTACATTAGTTACAACGGAAAAGCACTCAAGGTACAGGAACACTTTGAAATGTGAAAGAAGGACTGCAACCACTCAAGTACACCTACAGTCATCAGAGAAAGCCTGCGCTGTTCCATGAATATTAGACAGCGGGTACAGCTGACGTGCCAGTTGCTGAATTTTCTAAAGGAAAGTATTATGGACTAGCATGCAAATTTAATAGAAACTCAACAGAATTTACTGAACATTTAGTAGTTCAAAAATAATTTAAGATATCTTTAAGCTTTTTATATCTTATACAAATAATAATTTAGAATTTTTAATGTATTTGTATTTAAAACTTTTTTTTAATAATACTGATTTTCAATGCTTCAGCCTAACAAAAAAAGACTATTACAACAAAAGACTGGACCTGAACTATTCAGTATGGAAATCTACTAATTCCAGACTTTTTTTTCCCCCCTTCCTTCAGAGTTGCAGATTTTAATAAACCAGAAAGACAGAAGAAATTTGCTTCCTTTCCAGTACTTTCTGGACAGAAGTACTAGTTGCCAAAAAGAATGCTAACAGTAGCTTAGCAGAAAGGAAGGAAAAGCGTTTTTTTCTGGATCTAGCTAGATACCAGGAAGCCAGTTTTTACTTATGTGCATTCAAATACATGCCAGATACTGTTATTATTGTATGTATGTAATGTAAGAGCTCACATTTAAGCCAAGCGAGGTAACTGGCAGAAAAAAGCCAGACATGCCAGAAAAATCAGAAAGTTGATATTTGATGTTTCTTGCAGATCCAAAATAGAAATATTTTTCTCTTTCTTCCCACCTCAGTATGCTAATTAAAACTTTCATTATCCTTCAACCCTGCTTTATTCCATTCCAGCACTTGCCTCCTTCTCTCCCTTTCAGCCACTGCATTTATCAAGTCACTGTCCTGAAATCGGATCTGACAGTATCTGGTTATTTGGGTTGGATGGTATTATAAACTTACAAAATAAAAAAAGTAAAAAGCTTTTTGGCTTATCAATATATAGTCCCTTTCATATCTTACATTTGTTCTCCTCTCTTAATACAGTGGTCTGTTAGCACACTTTTCTGCCCTATACGCTATAGATCCTCCTCTTTGTATCTTCTATTTGCTCTACTCAGTTCATTTTTGTCTTCTCATTCAGCTTGAGCACACGCTTGCAAGTCTTATGTCCTATTACTGACAAAATACCAGAGTATTTGACAACTGAGTGCTAGTTCATGGGCTTATTAACTTACTTTACATTTATACAAAGAAAACATGGGTTGAATTGAGACAAGTTACGAGTTCTACAGGGCTCTAGAGGAATCCTGCTGTGGGGCACAGAACAAAACTACATACTGACTTTAATAGAAAAAGAAATCACTGCAGGGTGGCTCTACTCTGGAAAAGAAAAAAGAAAAGAAATCACAGATGATAGTTATACTTCACGATCTAAAGACAGAAAAGAGCAAAAATCTGCATGGACACTCGGCTCATTTCCACATCTAAGAGTTCAACCAAACAGTTCCTGAACTGCACTAGGGAATACATTCACATTAACAGTGTTCAAAGAGATCTGAAACCTCTGAGGTGCATTACCCATTGCCTTCCAAAACTGAAAATTAAGTACTGCAGTGGGCTACACTGTACTCTAACACTTTTTGGAACTATGAAACCTACTCATCTAAGTAGGGGGACATCTAATGTCCCCACACACACAGTAGGAGGGGAAAAAGCAACCGTTTTCACAGGATTTTTAGTGAAGGATTCTCATTCACATACTGTAACTTATGTGCTATATTCAGAACAGATTCGGTTTGGCAAAACATCTACACTTCAGCATCCATAAACCTTTTAAACTCATCACTGAATTGAATATTGAACTTGTACACTAAAACCAAGCCAGATTTAGTAATGCATTTTAAAACACAACTTGTTTTCCCCCCCCTAGAATATTGTGGATTCAGGATTAACGTGAACCAGGACTAGTTTTGTTGCATATCAGCATTCTGAGACAATGTTATGAAATGAAACCAATAGAATGAAGATGGCACACTAGATTTGTCTCCCTCTTTGCATTACAGGATACTTTCTTATGAATATACTTGAGGTATTTATATGAACACATAACCCAACAGATGCAGTCAATGCAAACGGCACACAAATTTTAAACAGAAATACACAAATGTAATTAACCCTTTAATCTCACATACTTCCAATCTAACAAAATATTTTCTCTCCACTCACATACAAATGGAAATCACATTGCTATTCTCAAAATAAGTATATTGCTGCATTCTGAATTGCAATATGTAAGAAATTAAAATTACTTCCTCAACATGTTTTCAAACAAGTAAAAAGAAATATATTAATATCATAAAGTAACATAATACGTGTACTAAGGAAACATCTTGGTGTCACTGTTAATCCTCCAAAATATTTATTTATCCTTTTAAAAGAAAGTAGTCGCACCTCAAAAAGAAAACTATACAAAGCACATCTATTTATATATTACCTTCAAACGACTGGACATATCTTCACAGCAGCTGCTCATCGCTTGCACATCTTCATTTATACTCTCAAGCTCCTAAATAAGTTCAAATAACAGTAATTGTTTTTAAATCAGAAATGCCATGGCTAGGCCCAGCTTCATCCCACCAAAAATGAGATGCCCAAGTTACAAGGAACATAGTTGCTCTAGGCTCCCTGTTAATCAACGGAGGGAACGCACCTCTAAAAATCAACGTTCACTTAGGATTTTCATCTGTTTGAAACATCACCTCTCTCTGCACAGGATTTTCCTCAAATGAAATGAACAATGAAACAATTTTATTGTAAAAGTATATTTATCCTGGCAAGTCAAAATCTCTCTTAAACTTTTTTTCTTTTTTTAAACTTTGAATTACATAGCAGTACTCTTGCAAGATAGCTAGTCATACTATAAAAATGCTACCTCTTTAACTTGCTTGAATATGTGGACAAATTCTTCATTTATGGCTAAGCTTCGTCGTTCAATGTCTCCACGCAAGTTCCTTCGTGTGCGCAAACTGTTTTCGACAAAAAAGGTCGAGAGAGCCTTGAGTGCTTCCAGCATTTCCTAGAAAATAAAAAAGGACCTTAACTTTCCACACAGCTACAAAGAAGCGGGTTACACAGCCTGTAACCATCCCAAGTTCATGGTCTTATTAAAAAAAAACAACCTACTTCATGGTTTTAGAGAAAAAACTACCTAAACACACTCTAGATCAGTTGATAAATAACTAAAATAATTGCTGAATCTTTCGTCTCATATGTTACAAAACACAACTTTGTCTACTATTTTAGAATAGCTTTAATCAGTAAGATTACATTTGGTTAAAGCATGACCTATCCATAGCTAGAACACATTTAAATCAGAAAAAGCTTAAGTGCCCTCCCAGCTAAGCCATACAAACCTCCCTACGATTTGAAGGCATCGAACAGGTGCGTGGCATGTCACTGGAGAAGCAAAAAACGAATTTTAGTTTTAATTAACGCTGCAAACGTCAGCTTGCGACTCCGCAGCGGAACTGAGGGTATGACAGGGCTCGCAGCCCCTGACGACTCATCCGGCCGATTCCCCGCAGGGCGCTCCCCGCCGGGCAGGCCCCGGCCCCCG